GAAAACATTAAATGAGCTTAAAAAAAGAAAAAAAATGTGAGAGAAGTTTCAGAGAGAATCGGGCAGGGACATTTGTCAGATAAAAAAGGACATAAGAAATCATTAAACAAGCTTAAAAAAAAAAAAGAACTAGTTCGGTCCAAACTGTTTTTCATCTGGATCGACTATACTGATAAAAAAATCATCAAGTTTTAAAAAATTGTTTATCCTCGTTTACATAGAATCCTAAAGTAAGTTCTGCTATCAAAGAACGGTTTTATAATTTTCGAAATTTTATGGTGGGGGAAACTTTGGCTCTCAAATTGGGCGATACGAATGTGCAACTTTCATGCTCTCCTAATCAAAAAAAAAATATAAGGGCAGTTAGCGTAATGATCATATGTCTGTAATGCATTCTATGTCCCATAAGAGGTCCCATTCTTTTACCCTTTCTCGGGACCAGAAGTCAATTACTATTCATAGCTATTACCTTGACACCAAAGAAGAGTTCGATCTAATGCTTTATTTTTTCCCTGGTTGATCCTGATTCGGAAAGCAAGACTTTTAAACGGCCCAAAAATGCTAAAAGAAAATTGTCGTAGTTTGCGATTTCAGCAATTAGACTTTCAAAATGACCAAACAATTTTGTCTCCTTTTAGTAAAGGAACAATTTCAGAATTAAAGATCCACCTCAAAAGTCCATCGTAAAAGGTTGTTTGGATGTTGGAAAACCCTCTAATTGATTATCTCGACATCGAGATGTATGACTATGAAAAGAAACAAATATTCGAATCCTCGAAATAGTTTATTTTGCAACACATTATGTGGATTGTCCATTTTCAAGATTTTCATGGGCTTATAGATCTACTTGATTTGAACTATTTTTAGAGTTTAAAATTTTATAATTAGAAATGAAAATACATTATCAAGCCATCCTAAGAAAATTTTATATCAAAATTAAATTTATGATAAAATTTAATGGTGTGCCTTAAACCACATCCTTTAGTAAAAGATTTATTTTCAAAACACCAACGGCCAAGTATTTTTTTGTATTTTTGGCAATTCGAAAGTCCTGCATGGTGTTTATTTACTCCCTCAAATAAAACCCAGTCTAAGATTAATTTTAGGATCCTAAAGTTTGAAAATGTGAACTCTTCAACTTATAGACAAACCTCAATAAAAGTTTCTTACATTTATTTATTTTTTAGGTGAGTAAAAGGGATAAGTTAGTGGGGATTTGGGCCCCTACCCTTGGCAAGAATGGAGTAGGGCTCAATACAAGTTTCTTAAATACCATCCAAATTTTAGAGGATAAGATCTAAGTACTAGAAAACTCCAAATTTAATTTAAATTTTTTTGAAAATAATAATGTAGTGATTCATAGGTAATTCCCAAAAATTTTCCAAGAAGATAATCTATGCGATGGAATAGTTATACAAACGGCTCAAACAAGAAAACTCATAATACAATCACCATTCTTATCAGCACCTATCTATCGGTAACCATTCTTCAAATTCGTTGCATGTCAAAATCATTAGTAAAATAAGAACTAAAAACAAAAATATGATCATATATACTATGCTCCTATAGGAGCATAAACCATTTATTTGCTCCCTACTTGAGAGGATTGTTTTAATTTCAAATTTTAGAAACTACTAAAAAATCACTAGATCATTATTTCCAAAAGAAAAAATTTAAATTTTAAGTTGTGTAACTCATTGACTTCACAGTTCACACTCAAAAAAAGGATAGCTTCCCTTCAATCCTGGGTCATTATTCTTTTCCTGTGTAAAGAGAGCGTAATTGGAAATTTTCCTTTTTTCCAGTTAGTCTGTATGTTGAAGATGTTAACTTCCCAAAATTTGAAATCCTAAAATTACTTCTAGATCGTTTTACTTGAGTAAGTAAATAAACAGTATGCTTCCATGAAGAACATAAATTCTTTTGGCACAAACTATTACGTATGAGATTATGATTAAAGCTATCCCGCCTCTATTTAAATCATAACTGGCATAAAACTTTCTACAAAAAAAAAACAAAGTGGGAGAACCTTGTCTAAAATGAGGAAAAGTGTTATATAGGGAAGTAATCCTATATTTGTGGGATGTAATCCTATATTTGCACCCCCAATGCATAAACATCAATCCTAAATATGGATGTAAAGTGATGTCCCCGCAGGATAATTAAATTTAAGGATTTAAATTTTTTTAAATACCTTTTTAGTTCTAAGTTTATATGTATGGAAAAAGTTTATATAAGATTGCAACCTTAAAATGTAAAACTACGAATGCACCTAAAAAATCCATCGAAAAAGGTTGTTTTAATGTTGAAAAACCTTGTGATAGATCATCTCGACATCGAGATGTATGACTATGAAAAATAAAAAGATTTTGAGTCTCATAAATAGTGCATGTTATCTACACCATCCATTTTCAAGATTTTCGTATGTTTATAGATCTACTTGATTTTAGCCATTTTTGGAATTTAAAATTTTATAATTAGATATAAAAATAGATTTTGAGATAATCCTAATAATAGTTTACATCAAAATTATATATTATGAACAAATTTGAAGGTGCACCTTAGATTGTTTATGGTTGCAACCTTATGGAAACCACACCCTTTATGTATTAATGGTCTGTATATTGCTGATTCGGTCCTAAATCCATCTAAAAATACATCATAAGGAGGGGACACACATGTGCATAGCACACACATAAAAAAGGTGACCCTAAAATAAAATCATTGTAAAAGATCAGCTAAGATGGGCCGGTTCAGAGTCGCCTATCCAGTTGGGTGTCATCGGTCGGATCCAGCATAGTGGATCAGGTGATGTGTTATTTCTATAACGGTACATTGCCTCTATAAGGACCCAACTTCTACGCGGGCAAGCACACATATGTAGAAATGCAGGTCTCATAATAAACTATTTTTTAGATGGATTTTAACACTTAATTTATAAGGATTTGTAATCTCTAGCATGGAGATCATAAATATTAATAAATAAATAAAATTTTAAAACAAAAAATAATAACTTTAGTAAAAAACATTTGGACAGTTAGTTTCCATTGTTTTTAGATGGAACACTTAATTCTGCATCTATCTTTAAGATGGATGATTTATATTTATTTTCTTGACTATATATGTAGAAATGCGATCCAGCCTGCATGAAACAATTTTCAATCTATAATGCTCTTTACTTTAAATAAAAGTATTTACGTTTACAATATTTTATTTGGTCGTTCTTAAAATAAGTAAGAGCATTTTGATTAAATTCAATTAAGGAGAAGAATGGGATAGAAAACAACTTGGGTTTAATTAGTTAGCACTTGACGCCTGCAACGTTTCCTACCAGGGTAAGGGCTCACTCCCACTAACTCACCCAAAAGGTTAGAAAAAAAAGAAAAAAAGGTGTAGTATAAGGCCGAGGCCCTAAACAATCAAAGTAGGCGCACCTTCAAATAGGTTGAAAGATGTTATATCAATACTGGAAATCTTTGTGATGGCTTGAAAATTTATAATTTATTTTCATATCTAATTATAAAATTTAAAGCTTAAAAAATAATGTAGATCGAGCAAATATATGAATATTTTGAAAACTTAAAAATTGACGGTTAAAAAATGCATTACAATATGCACTATTTTCAAGATTTGAAATCCATTTTTTCTCATGGCTATACATCTTGAGGTCAAGATGATCAAGTCCTATCAGGGGTAGGGGCGCTCACTGACTCACCCAAAATGTTAAAAAAAAGAAGAAGGTGTAGTTTCTATAAGACCGAGGCCATAAACGATCAATGTAAGGCACATCTTCAAATAGTATTGAAAGATGTTATTTCAATACTAGAAATCTTTGTAATGGCTTGAAAATTTATTTTTATTTCTAATTATAAACTTAAAGCTTAAAAAATAGTGTAGATCGAGCAAATATATGAATATTTGGAAAACTTACAAATTGACAGTCCAAAAATTCATTACAATATGCACTATTTTCAATATTTGAAATCCATTTTTTTTCATGTTTGACATCTTGAAGTCAAGAAGATCAATTTGAGGATTTTTTAGCAACAAAACAATTTCGTTTAGTGAAGTTTTATGATGTGCCGTATTATTATTTTTGTTGTAGGGCCCCACCTTGTATAAACTTTTTTCCTTTCGGAAAACAAATCTGTAAGGAGAGAGAGAACTCCTTTTGGGAATTTTTGCTTTTGTGTCTCCCAGTCCTTGGGGCCTTTTCCAAGTCATTTTCCATGGCGAATCCAGACAGAAATCCGCCCTTGTTTGAGGTTCAAGTATATTCAACCACTTCTGATTAAATTATAAATTTCTTTTTTTTTTTTGTGGGTTTTGTCAAGAAAATTTGTAATGAACCTTGAATGTCTTGATTATTGATCATTGAATCTCAATCCAATATCCATTATACAGGGATGCTTTTTCATAGTTTTTTTCACATGAATACTATTTTTTGTGGGTTTTAAGTTTTTTTTCACGTGAATACTATTTTTTTGTGGGTCTTTACATTTTTATTTTTATTTTTGTCTCTCTCTCCCCCTCTCTCTAAGCCATGGCCATTTCCTCCTAGCACAACTTTTGAGTTTTTTACGTCTTTTATGTTTCGAATGATTGAATGAGTTTTTTAAGGTTATATTATAAGGAATACTTTGAATTAGGAGTAATTGTATATTAGGAATATTTTATTTTTAAGCTTACACTATATACAATTTACTATGCCGATTTTCAAAAATAGTAAAAAAAACCACAATAAAAGAGATTGAAAGTTTTAAATCTATTAAAAGATATCATGAATCGTATATTCACATTTTCATTTACTTTTGAATTATTATTTTTTATATTTTCCATAATTTTCTTTGTTTTCGCACTGTTCTTCTTCTTTCTTCCTCTTTCTTTTTTTTTTTTTTAATTTCAGTTTATTAGTCCTGTCCACAGGTGAACCGTCCGGTTCAAAGCTGAACCGTCCAGTTCGGCAGTCCAATTGGAACGGTGACGCCATGAATAAAACCCCTATTTGGTGTTCTAGACGGTGCTTTTCTAGAGAGAGAGAGAGGGCTACCCAGGCACAGAGTTCTAGAGAGAGAAAGATGGGGAAGACACCGGTGCGGACGAAGGCAGTGATCTACGCTCTATCACCCTTCCAACAAAAGATGATGCAGGGGCTATGGAAGGATTTGCCTGAGAAGATCCACAAGAAGGTTTCTGAGAACTGGATCAGCGCTGCCCTCCTTCTCACTCCACTTGTTGGAACCTACACGTACTCTCTCTCTCTCTCTCTGTCTTCATTTTTCTATTCTATCTGTGAATGATAATCTTTTTTCGTTTTGGGTTTGTTCACCGCCCGTTGCAGTTTATTTGTGGCATTTATCGTGATATATGGATGAATATTCAATGACCTAGAGATTCAAATTTCGTATTTTATATCTATTTTTGGGTGATTTAAGAAAGATAGCATGTGCTTCTCTTGGCGATGTATCTATATTTTTACAGAGGATTGGGAATTTAGGGTTTGGGAGATTTATTCATTTTATTATATGTTTTTCGTACATCAACCACCTGAATTTTGATAGAGAAAATCCATATGAAATATGGAGCCTTTCTAATTGTATTGGAACTGTGCATCAACCTTTTTTTGTTGAAATAAGGGTTAGCTAGAACTTGTTTTTGCCCCTTATTCAAGATATCAAGTGGTAAATTTCTAGATTTTGACTAGTTCTGGTTTCTCTTTGCTGTACTAGTGATACTTGACATGTTTTATGGACTTGTATATCTTTGAAGTGTTTTGATGGTTGTATTTTGTGCACAAACCGTCTATGCTCTAGTTAAGGCCATTTCATGTGTTCTTGTTGTTGAATAAGTTTGACTTGTCTTTAATTGCATTTCATCTTTTCCCAATTTTCCTAATTCTTCCATGCGTTTCTGGAGGCCTATTGATTTTTATTGCATCATGTTTTTCTCTGGCTTCTGGTTCATTTTTCAGTGCTTTTGCATTGAATTTCCAATGAAATGTTCATTCTATTATTGTTATTTTGGATCCAGCCCTCTTTACACCTCATTTCGTGGCAATACTTTATGATATATTTCTTAAATCAATCCCAATTGTCTTGCTTTAACTTTCTATTTCTAATTGTTTTGGGTGTAGTTTTTGTTGCTTTGTCAATGCATTCTTTATTGCTTTGTTTTTACCTTTTCGTTTATTGAGTCTACTGCTTGAGGGATATCCGTTTGGCGAAGGTTTGTGATTCTTGAAATGTCTGCTTGAGGATTCTTTCATTGAGACTTATCAGATTGAGATTCGATATGGTACCCCTTCAAACAAAAAAAAAGAGATATTGTGTACACAGTTTGTATCAGTCTTTTGATACTAGTTTGCTTTGTTAGAACTTAGAAGTTTAAAATCTCGCTTCATGTGTGGCTTTCCTGGATGGAGTTTGACGAGTGATGGAATTGTTTTCTGAATGTTATCAGTATTCCATTTATGAGTAGTGATGTTCGTCTCTCAATGTGGGTGATGAAAGGTTTTTGTTTAGTCTAACTCTTAAAACATGTGTCATACTGTAGGACATCCCCTCCACACCCACCCACACACATATGCACCCTATACCTAAAATTGAGGCAATATTTGGCTGGAACTCTAACATATCTGAAATTGTACACATTTATAATTCATTTATGAAATTTTCACCAAGCAATACTTAGTGTGTCTTAATCTAGTCATAGTTGCCAGATTTGGTCTGAGGAATAACCATTTTTGGTACATTAGATTGTATTTTGAGAGGACAAAGTTTAAGAGATAAATGTGCAAGATCGTGTAATGGATGTCATGAAGTCAAACTTGTGTTGTTTGATTTCTTCTAGAAACCATGGAACCTTTAACTTTTAAGTAGTAGAGCATTGTGAAAAGGTTCTGCAATGATTCAGCCATTGTGCTTTGGATGGGTTCCTGATTATAAGGTCACTTCCATGTTCAAAAGATTTGCATTTCATGTATAACATAGTTCCGGCATTAGTTTTTGGTCTACCTAGGTTCCTTGCGCTTGACCAATTTAAACACCTGTGTATATTTTTTGGCTGGTTCTTCGAATGGTTGTATGCCCCTTACTGCTTTCTGTGATTTACTTTTAAGAGTCTTCACAAATATTGGTTTCATTGACTGATTACCCCTGATTGCTTTTTGTGATGCTGCCGTTCTCTTTAGTATTGCATGGTGTCTTGTCTTCTGTTTGGCTTGGTGTTGTGCTTTTGCATGTTGTCAGCCTCTCAAATTTTCTAGTTGTAAAAGAATTCAGAAATCTGGCGCATCTATACTTACATACTTACATGCATGTATACATGTCCATCTATCTATCTATCTATCTACCTATCTATCTGATATAGTTATAAAATACACCACACTAATGGTGAATTTAGAAGTTTCTATTCCCAGACATTTGACCATAAATATAAATAATTCATGTATTTTTTAGGAAGGTTATTTTTGTCTTTCAAAATCCCCTGAAAACTGATTTCCAAATTAAAAAAGATTCTTTTGACTTTTTGAATAATGATTGAATTTGAAAAATATTTAAACTTACAAAGATGGCCCTTTTTAGAATTTTCGAACAAACTGTTAATAGAATTTTTATATTTGTATGGGCATCTTTGTTGTCAAACAATTTGGAGTACGAAATTTTAAGTTCACTATTAGTGTGTATTCTAGAATAATGTGTGTGCGTGCGGGCATGTGTGTGTGGATTTTCAACAGTTAACAACTCTTAAAATAACATAGGTTAATGTTAGAATCACTTGTGAATGTATTTTTACCACTAATATACTTTTACAGCTATTGTGTAAACTATAATTGAGGGCAATATAGTCTTTTTTCAAGATGGAAAAAGTAAAAAAGTCACCACGTTGCCACATCTCTTCTCTCCCATGTAAAAAAGCCCTTTTCCTTCCCTCATCTCTCTAGGTATCTTCACCGGCTCCTATAATTGTTCCTCCTCTGATGCATCTTCTTTCTCTAACATCTCTCTAACGTTTCAATGCCATGTCATGTCATACTCTCCTCTGATGCATTCTCTCTCTTAAACATCTCCATGTCATGTCATGCTCTCCGCGATTCTTAATTCTGAGCACCATTCCTTCTTCTCTCTAGCTTTTTGCACAACAGTGAGTGGGGTTTTGAGGAGGGAGTAAGGGAGAGACAAAGTGGAGGACGAGCCAACCAGGAGGCCTTCTTTCTCCCTCTTTCTCTCCCCCTTCTACTCTGAGAGGGAAGGGAGTGGAGGAGGCTCTACCCATTTCTTCTCTTTCTTTCTGTTTCATGGGTCTTGCTCCACTTTTAGCATTTCTTCTCTTAACTTTTTCTCACTCCAGAATAAAAAAAAATCATCATAACCACCTTTTAGCTTCACTTCTCAACCTATCTGTACAACACACAATAGGAAGATTTGATCCCCAACCTCTGAAAGCGTTTGTTAGAGAGAGACAGAGAGTTGTGGTTTTGCTTCCTATGAGTTTTGGGGAGTGCTTGGAGTGGAGTCAGAGTAGTAGCCGGGCAGTTAGTAGCAATATGCCTGCTGCTTCTTAGCTCCCTCACCTTCTCTCCTCCCCAGTCTTTTCTAGACCAGTGCTAGAGACCATGTTCATCTCACCTGCTCTCTCTCTCATTCCCCCACTCCATTTGATTAGGGAAAGAATTGTTGTTTCATCTAATTGTGCTTGGATGTATTTCACTTTTTTTGGACATAAGCAAATCAATAGGATGAGAGAGAGTATGAGTAAAGCAATGAACAATGTTTTAAAAAACGGTCTGCTTGGCACCCACCTAGGCAACCTGGACCAAAAATCCGCATGCCTAGACCCAAGCGGCCTTGCATGGGCGGATGTACCTGGGCAGGCGCCCAGGGCCGTAAGGCCTTTTTCATTTTTTTAAAATCGCCCAAAAAGGCAAAAGGGTCATTTAAGGTTTTATATAAACGTTATGGGGTTTATTTTTAACCCCCAAAGTGAAAAAAAAACACCCTCAATATATGAAAATCCCCAAAGTAAAAAAAAACTACAGGGCGCCAGGCAAACCGCCTCGGGGCCACCTAGCGTTTTTTGAAACCTTGGAGATGAAAGGGTGGATTTATATAGAGGTGACGAGAGAGATTTGTTGCTTAACAAAGAAACATGGGCCATAGTGGGAAAGGGAGGTTGAGTAGTGAGAAAGGTGGAGAAACGAGAGAGATAGAGATATGCAAATGAGATAGAGCAAAGAGGGTGAGGGCCGTTTTGCCCAAGAATTAATTCTTGTTTTGTAACAAAAGACTAAAAAATATCATTTGTTTAAGCTTTCACGATTGTCCGATAGTATTTCATTTTTCATTTTTTTTTTGCAAATCGGAATAACTTGAAATTTGGAGTGTGTATTCATCAAAAATAGGGGAATCTTCGAAAAATATAAAAAAAACATTTTACATGAAAAAAATTAATCAAAATACCCCGGAAAAGTTTTGGGGGTATTTTGGTCAATTTGTTTTTTGCGGATAATTTTTTTTATATTTTTATTAGATGCGCCTAAGTAAGATGTACAAACCCTCCAAATTCAGGTCATTCTGATTTGTAGAAAAAAAATGAAAAATAAAACACTATCAGACAATGGTGATCGCGAGATGAAATTAGGACGGTGATGAGGGTAGGCGAAATCACTATTCATTTCTGCTTATAGGTGTTGAGAAGACTTTTCCATATATATATATATATTGGAAAAAGATCTTGTCAACCTAGGGGCTGATGGAATAGTCAGATTGAATCTGGGCCGATCTGACGCATGAAATAAAAATTCAAATCGCATGAAATTTGAGGTATAATATAATTTTAATATTTTTTCTACAAATCTAAATCACATGAAATTTGAGGTATCTATTCTTCTCATCAAGGCGCACTTAATAAAAATATTAAAAAAAATAATTCACAAAAATTAAATTGACCAAATATTCCTAAAAAGTTTCAGGATATTTTGGTTGATATTTTTTTTGGGGAATTATGTTTTTGATATTGATTCTCCTATTTTTAAAGAATAGACCCCCTAAATTTGAAGTGATTTGGATTTGTAGAAAAATAATAATTCAAATACGAAATGCAATCATGACCATTGGATTGGTTTGGATTCAATTTGGGCCACTAGGCTTACACTATAGCCCTCAGCTAGAGGCCTAACATCATACTCTCTCTCTCTCTCTCTCTCTCTCTATATATATATATATATATGTATATACACATAGTACCTTTCATTGGCCCAGTCCGTTCGGTCATGGACCTACACATTTGATTATTCCACAACTAGTTCATGTACCCAGCCAGTTCATGCTACCTTTGGGGACTGGAAACGGCGTTGGTTCACCAGTTTCTTGTTCGAATCAGCCGGTCCAGTCCGGTTCTGATAACATTGATTAATACCCCAGCTGTATTATTTCATACTCATTTATGCCCTTTAGCATTTAGTTGGTCGCTTATGTGCTGTTATAGAGGACTTGTTTTCTTAATTACAATCTTTGGTTGAAAATGTGTGCATAACAATCTACTCGAATTAGGTGGTGTCTGAGACATAGTTTCAATGTTTTCTATAGAATTGTTGTTTGTGCGTTGTGCATCATTATTGCTTGGACTTTAGTCATAGACCTGCATTTCGAGGAAATAGTTTGGAAGAGTACATATCGATAGTAATGTGAAATATTTAATTGCCCATCCTTGCCTCTGTCGCATTTGTGGCGTATGGGATCCGTGTACATATCAAATTTTGATATGTTGAGTTCTAACAAAGTCATTTTATGAATTTTGTGTTACTAGTTTGCATGGGCGTTTTAGGCTTGAGATATGTAGCTGTCAGTACATCTGCATGGTCCATTCAAATCCTTATAAGAATCCCAAAAGCATTATTTATTTTCTTGTTTGTGGAGTTGTGATGGTAATTTTTGCAGAAAAATGTGAGCCTAATGGATAATATTTTGTTTTTTAGGTGATCACATTTCATACTTTCTTGTTGTAATTTGTCTTGAGTAAATAACTTGATTTATAGGATGCATTATAAATGTTTCTCTTTATGTTTGTAAAGATGATGCTTTTGGCATATGCTCAGTTGTTATTTACTTGCATTAGTTGCTTTCCTGTACAGATTGATAATGGAAGCACTCTGTTTATTGCGATGTTGTCCATTTAGGATGAGATATTGATTTTTATGGAGGCATTCTGTGCCATTGTGCATTACTTCTTTGTTCCATTATGAAATCTTCAAAGATACTTTAATAAGGATCATGGGATCCCAAACTGGTGAATTTCTTATTTTAAGTTTCATGCAATTTGAAATCTACTCTATATTAGCAAATGACATTCCAATTCATCTTGGAAAGTTGTTACTCTTGAATAAAATACTTTCAGAAAACCTTGTAGCGTTAATATTGAACCTAACTCTCATAGTGGTAAGCATACAAATTAGCAAAATTCCCGATGTCCAGATTCTTTTTTGTTTTTCTTGGATAGTTCAGCTGTAGGAATCGAACTTGAGATGGTTGCTAATGTCATCTTCTAACCACTCAAGTCCGCCAATTATGATGGTAATAATGCATATGGAGAAATCCATGTTGGGTGTACATGCCAGTTGATTTGGCATCTGGGGCTCCGAAAGTTTGCTTTCCCAGTAGCAAACCAGAGTGCCCAGCATTCTTTGTTACGTATGGTCCTCATGGGTTTTTCCATGGCTTTTACTTTTTGTTAAATAAGTAATTGTGTATGCCATGGATTGGAAGAGGTAATTGAAATGTAGGGTTCATAGGGTTGTTATTTGTGCCTGAACTTTTAAGCACGAATTGCCAAGTGACCTGACTTGATCATTTCTGGAGCTAGTGTGTCTTTATCTCTTTACTTGGATCTTGGTTGCGAATGGAAAGCGGTAACTGATTTGGAGCTAGTATCTAGGTTTCTCTTTAATGCAAATCATTGTTGTGGATGTGAATGAATGATAGATGACTCTTTGCCTTTTGAAATAATGTTAATATTTTCTTTTGGCTTGAGATTAGAATGTTATTTTTGGATTGTTTGTCTTGTATGATCCAAATCACTTCCTAAATAAATGTGTTTGTGTAGCGTATGTAGGAAACAAAAGACATATATTTAGTGTCCTTGGAAGCTTCAGTTATATTGGATTGGCTATGTTCCTTCAAACACAGGATATTGGATTGTCTGTCATATGCGTTGCCTTGTTTGCTTTGTTGGATCTGATGATCTGTACATCTATCAAGAGAAGAAAAAAAAGGATGATAGATATGCTTACTCAACAACCGAAGATGCAAAAATAGCAAAGAAAAATCCATCCAGAAAAGGAATTTATACTCAGAAGATTGTTTAACCACCCTCGCACACAAATGCAACTTGAGGCACTAGGTGATCATATTTTCTTGATGTATTATCACCTCTGGGGTATCTGACATTGGAATATTTCTTTCAGAAAAAAAACATTGGAATGTTTGCTGATTGTTTGTTTATACTCAGAAGATTGTTTGTTTATGGATTGTATAATGAGGCACTAGGTGATCATATTTTCTTGATGTATTATCACCTCTGGGGTATCTGACAATGGAATTTTTCTTTCAGAAAAAAAACATTGGAATGTTTGCTGATTTTACGATGTGTTTATGAAATTTTGTGAATAGCGACAGTCATTTCACAAACTTATTTTTGTAAGAGTTAATAATAGGGAGCTCCTGTCTTCCAGGAAGCATAGGACAGGTTTAAGAAAACTTCATTGTGAACATGACCTAAACTAAATGTTTGTATTGTTGACTAAGCAAAGTAAAGAATTTGGGCATTCCATGACTAGTACCGTTCCAAATTTAAGTTTGAGATTTGTATGTATGCGCATGCGTGTGTGTGCTTGGGGGGGTTACAATGACAACAGATAAAGTGTATCATAGTTGGATGATCTGTGGACAATTTAAGAACTTGTGAACAGGTGAGATGTAATCAAAGTACACAGCTAGTGGATCCATTATACTCATGAATAATTAAGAACTTCATATGTTTACCTCAAAAAAAATTCTGCCATGGCCGGTCCCAAGCGTAGATGATAAAGGAGGAGCCAAGGAGGGTTGTGTTAGGTTGGCAGCCAGTATAAAAGTTTTGCCACAGCTCTATATGAATCTTGATCCAATCTGACTTAGGTTATAGCCCTTGATTGAGCAGAATAGTAAAACATGATTTGTGTAATTGACCCAAATAGTTAGGAGACGACTCGGATGATGATGATGATGACACACACACACATATGGTACCTTTTGTAAAATATATATTACCCCAAAATTAAAGGTTACTTTTTACGTTGTTGGGGATACTCCTTTTTCCTCTAAATAAAGATTACCTCTCTCTGGAACTTTGGTTGGAGAATCTATGGGTTGATTGGATCCTTTTGTGTTAGAGGGTGACACCTGGAAGTGAGAGCTGCATTAAGAGGGATGCAGGTTGGATGTTATATTATCATCTCATTCTTGGAGTATAGTTTGTATTTTTTCCATGCTGATTTTACTTATAGAATTTATTTGTAGATAGAGGATAGATACATAAGGGATATCTTTCATAGAAAGCTCTGTTGCTGGAGTTCTGTTAAAGGTACAGACCCAACCCCCTCGTTTCTTTATCAGGAACTATGAGATAGATACTCTTTATGTACTTTGTAAGAATTTCTATAAACTGTTAATGTCTATCGTCATGTCAGTCACTTTCCTTCCAAATTCCAATGGGATGAGTCTTGCAATTGGTTGCTTTGTAAGTTGCATGACTTTCCATCACCAAAACTCCATGCATTTCCTCATCAATGTTTGGGAAATCATAGAACATATTCCTCGGATGCATGTACCTTAAGTGTAAGATTGATTTCCAGATGGGTTTCCCTCCAATAAAGATGTTGAAATGTCATACCTGTAAGTGAGACATTGATGTTCATCCGGATCTTTTTTTTTACTAGCCAATAATCATAACTCCTAGCTTTCTACATTATATACCCTCTAAACCCTGTCCACCCTCATTATTTGGAAAAACTGACTTTTCTTCTAAAAGAGAAGGATTCTGGTCCATTTTTTCACAAACTGGGAACACATAAAATATTAATATTGGGTTTCAAATTCATTGGTTAGTCGTCCTAATGGGGTAATCAATGTAGTGAGATGGGATACTAAGTAATATACTTTGCATTATGTTACTTTACTCAGATTTCCTTTGGATGGCAGGAAGGCAAGGGTACTTGATTATGCATAAAGTCTCTTGTCATACAAAAACAGCCTGGATTGTGTTTCCACTTCCTTGCTGCATGGAACCGAAGAACACTCGTCTCCTTCCTAAATTCATTTATTTTGTCTATATATTATTTCTCGTCACTTTTTCCTGACCTTAAATGTATTATTGGTGTTTATGAGTCAAATATTTGAGAATGAACACTAAACCTGGATTTCCAGATTATCTAAGAATGGTGCAGCGTTCTGTTCTTGGTCACTAGTAGAATTGACCTGGATTACCATTGTTTGCATGTCTGGGAATGACCATTGAGCTGCAACCTCTGTTTCTTAGACTGAAATTGGTGTTGAATAATTAATTATGACATCAACCATGTCTACATTTGCCCAAATTAAGAGTAGAAACCACCAACCAGACCATTTATTCATAGTTGAATTTGTCTAACCCTATCCATTTTCAATTGCAGGTATGTTCAGAACTACCTGGAGAAGGAGAAGTTGGCACATAGGTACTGAATCGTCGGGGTATCTGGCTGTTACTAAGACAACTCTTTTGTTTTTGGGTGGAAGAAAAAATGAATTTTGCTGAACTATCCATTTCAGGGACTTTGTAAATCATAACTGGGGTTTATAGACATGGTTTAATTTCTTTCAATTGCTACAATAAATTCTGTTCTCCAATGTCATCGAATGATTAATGTGCGGTCCTCATGGATGTTGTTGTTGCATGTCTTGGATTATAAGAACGAAGGAAATATAATATTGCTGAAAATGGCCCAGCAAAATGACCTGCTTTTGAGGGATTTTGTGGTTTTTATGGCTTGAGTGGTAATTGCATTACTTTGGAATGGTTCTCAAACTATGATTGGTAGTAAAATCTAGGGACGTCACAAAAGGGGGGGTGCTCTCAAATTTATGGTTTGGAACGGTCAATATATGCTCCATTTGGTTAAAGAATTGTTTGCCAATCTAGAAAGGGAATGCCATTCTCTTTACTGACTACTAAAATCTCATGAACCATGACGGGGAGTAGAGACGAATGTTCATTTAACTAAGGGAAGGTATTGTATGTATCGGGTCTCTCTAAAATAAAATAAAATGTTAAAACCAATGGTTTGCATATTTTCTTCATGATTTATTTATTTTTATATATGGGATTGTATAATACGAGATTATTTATTTTTGGTACAAAGAGATCGTAATCATTTTTAATTATTGGATGCGTATTTCAATAAATGAAAATGTACCACAACATTCAAGAAATTTTATTTTGGATTTTGTGTTTAAACAATGATATATCTTCAACCATTTGATTTCAAATTTAATAGTCAATGATGATTGTGATTTTTTTGTATTAAAGTAAATGATCTATTTGTATACTTTTCTTTTACATATCATTGATTTCAAATCTAATAGTCAATGATGATTGTGGTTTTTTTGTATTAAAAGTAAATGATCTATATGTATACTTTTCTTTTATATATTCATGATATTTAAATTAACATTCAAAAAATTTTATTTTGGATTTTGTGATTAAACAATGATATATCCTCAGTCAACTGATTTCAAATCTATTAGTCAATGATGACTGTGATCTTTTTGTATTAAAAGTAAATGATCTATTTATATTATTTTTTTATATATATTCGTGATATTTAAATCCTATATCCATCTCTTAAATCTATCTCAAAAATGGATTTTTAAGAGGAGATTTATTTCGGCATGCGAGTCCCAAGACTCATAAACCTCATCCTTCAACAAAGCGTGAAGGCAAAATCGTGTAATTTATCATGCCGAGCTTCAGAAGATTATATAAACTAACTAACTAGCATGGACGGATCTCTCTAAATATAACTGTATTTTTTGCATTGTTTTTGGTCTTTCATTTTGAAAATTTAATCAACAAATAAATAACTAAAGTGGGTTGTGCAGATCTGCTCACCCAAAAAGAAAAGAAGAGAGACCCAAGTAAGGCACGTGTAAAAAAAATTTCAAAAAGATATAATTGAAAGTTCTTAAATTATTTTCTTTAATATATTCATGATCCTAAAGGTTTTGGATAGGTGAGTCAGCAAAGTCACCCAAATTGGATCCTAATGTCATCGCAATTATCAATTACGTTAACTCCCATTGATCACTCGATTTAGTTAAAGCCCAAAATACGTTTTTATTGATTCCAGCACGAAGTTTGCTCTACTCATTGTTACTGTTCACTGTTATGGGATCATGTTCTCAGGCCTGTTACGGTGGATCACTGAATGAGTTTAAGTGCGTCTTCCTTTTGTGGAAGAGGGGTCCCTCTTCCATCTTTGGAAGCCGCTGCCTCCATGGATCACCATGTAAGATGGAAGCCGCTGCCTCCATGGATCACCATGTAAGTGGTGCCATCCACAAGACAGCGTCAAATTGATGTTGTTTTGCAAGCTGCTGGTAATAATGGCTTCCAAAATAAAACCACACTTCCTGGAAACAAATGTAGGAAGTCTTAGAATTGTGGAACCACGATTCCAAGAAACAAACACACCCGATTCTTTAATTGTAACACTGGTGTGGGAAATGCTTTGCTTTTTTTTTGTGCACGTTCAAAATGAACTTGCCTCAAAAGGGTTACTCCGTCTTTGAATTTTACTACTAGTTAGAAGAGCAAGGGATTTTGGTGGTGCAAGGCTTACTCGGTCTTTGAATTTTACCACTAGTTAGCAGAGCAAGGGATTTAGGTGGTACAAGGCTTAGGCCACGAAAGCATATCGTAACCCCAGTGGAGATACAAATCAGACATGGAAAATTCTTATAGTAATTTGGAAAACCGTACTTCCATAATTTTGAAATTTAAATCTCCAAAATTGGTGCAGATTTAACAAATCTAACCAGGTTGGAAGTCTACCAAATGGAATTTCAACTATTAGTCCTTTTTTTTTCTCTTTTTTTTTTTTCGTTTTTTTTATTGATTAAGTGGTAAAATATGGATGTCAATGATATGGATGTCTATGTTAACCTAAAATACACTACATATTACTAACCACGATGCATCCTAACATAGATTTCTGAACACCTAATTAGTACATTAAAAGATTTATGGAGTAGCTTCTTGTTTAAAAAAAACTGTTAAAAACTCTCTATTAATACGAAAGAACTACAACATCTAAGCTCCCAAAGGCGGGGCCAGAAATGCAACAAATTCATTTGAAAGAATCTACGGCAAAAAAGTTTTCAGTAACAAGGTACCAAAATCCATTTCCCTGCAATACTAAATCACATATTAAGGAGAAAAGAATGCTGTTATATTAATGGGTTTGTTTGGAAGCCACAACTAAAGCACAGAAACCCAAGATATTATGTACAACACAACGCACGAGTAATTGGACCGTAGGGGCAAATTATAGCTCTTCTGAGACCAATTGATTTGAAATTATCTTTTCATCTGCGGTTCCATGATGGACTGGGCCTACTTGAATCTCTGAATGGTGTGCCACTTGATGATGCAGGGGATGGCAATGAGGTTGTGATTGGGCGTGAATCTCTAAATGGAGTGCCACTTGATGATACAGGTGATGGCAAGGAGGTGGTGATCGTGCGTGAATCTCTGAATGGAGTGCCACTTGATGCTGCAGGAGATGGCAAGGAGGTTGTGATCGCACGTGAATCTCTGAATGGAGTGCCACTTGTTGCTGCAGGAGATGGTAAGGAAGTCGTGATTGCCCCCGAAACCGACAACAGTGGCGGATTCCCAGAATGGTGGGTTTGGATACCACCGCTCATAGGTGCAAACCGCGAAGGGCTTGCTGAAACACCAGAAAAATAATTGGAAGCGGTTTGATTATGCCCTGCACTTGTTCTAGTAGTCTGTGAGACCTGAGGATATGCAAATGGAAAATATCAATACTCCAGAAAAAAAAAAATATCGGCTTCTAATGTTCGAGATGGATAGTATATACAAATGAAAATGTTAATAGTTATGACCAGAAAAAGCAAATAACTACTTCAGTTCTATAAATACAATATGGCTTATCATTCCCAGCACAAGTCTACGAGGTAATGACAAAATACTGTTAGAGCAATGCCACGACAAAGAATTAGAATTTGATATTAACTTCTTGAGAAAGGGTCACAATAATTATGCAAAAAGGTTCCTACTTGATTCCTTATACTTTTGGCATATTGAGAGCGGCCACTTTGTGCATAAAAAAGCCAAAGGTTAAGGCCATCTCCAGCTCACCTCTCCCGGGACCCTGCATAGGTGGGACCAGCACCAGGTTACGGCTTTTTTTAAGACTTTTGGGATATTGAAAAAACCATTATCATTTGACCAAGGATGGTGGATATCAAGGCATTTCCTCAAAGTTGGCCAACTTTGAGAGTACTCTCATGAACCATTTGCCAGAAAGGCACATGGAAGATGCTTCCTTGGATACTGGTGGTGGACAAGTTTAATAACGTGTTCATGATAAGAATAAAAAGATCAATATCGTAATACTGTCCTCAAAATTCATAAGCATGCATAAGAAACACAGAACCTACCAATCAAAGGTACTCTTAACAGAAAGATCTACACTTAACAAGTAGAACACTTGCAATTTTATGGTAAAACTACTTTTCAGCCCATGTGATGCATGGGTCTGTGAATGTACGTGTGTTTTAGAGTGTTTTAGAGACTAGAGAGAGATTTAGATTGGGACACGAATATTTTTTAGGAAAATTGGTTCTAACCCCAAGCAGGGTTGACATACCGTAACCCTTCGAGAAGGGCAACTGCCTCTGCAGTATCCGAGTTGATGTTGCCTATGAAACAGGAGAATGAGAATAGTGTGTTGCCATCCTTGTCTCTGAAGATGCCCCCAATACCTGATGGTACGGGGTTGCCTAGGGAGCATCCATTGAAGTTAAGCTTTGCCTGCCCCATTTTGGGTGGCCTCCAAAGAGACGCATGAGGGATGCGGTGGGTCCTGAGGTACAAAAGATTTTGCCAACTGGTATGGAAATCGGATAGGGAGAAGCTATGTAAAGCATACCTTGATCATGGAAAGGGCTTCCAAGAATGTCATTACCTGGCCTCATGTGTCCTTGGAACCTAGACCACATCTTTGAAGAGATCTTTCACCTCACTAGACATACTTGGAGAGAAGAAAATGATGCAGCAGACACCCTTGCCAAGGAGCGCCCCTCACAACAGAATTCTCAGTATAGTCCTGCATCTCAGTTCACTGTTTTGCACGTCGATTTTTTGGATGTATAGCATTGTTTGGACCCCTTAAGGGGTTTTCGTTATGAAGCAACCCTTTAGTGGGTTGCGCATTCTCTTGTAACACCCTTTACGTAATACAACAGTAAACATTTTCAAAAGAAATAGTAATCCTAGACTTTAGGAAATTCTACTTCTATTCAAATAGACCTAGTTTCTTGAGGTTCTCACTCTTCATAAACATTCTCGACTAAAGGAAAATGGATTTCTACTGAAGTACTTATTTCTTGAGATCAATTACCATTTTTCTAATATCAAAAGGGACTCAAAATTAAAAATTTCTTAAATGTCTATAGGAGACAGTATCAATTAGACTCTATGAGGTTCTTAAATGCCATATGCACGTCGGTGCACACATATGGACCATGCTTTTTAATATAAGATAGATGATCATGTAGAGAAATAAATAAACGAATAAACTTTGAAACCTCAGGAGCCTTGTTAGAGTGGTTAAAACTCCAGCATACAATTGGGAAAGCATATTGGCTGATCAATACACAAGACCGAAGCATTTCACCCAGATGAGGCATAATTACATTCTAGTCTTAAAAATTATAAATGCTTTTACAATTGAAAAAGAGTAACTGTACCGGATTATTTTGAAGATGATTCTGAGGCAGCCTTTGAATAGAAGAACCACCAGTAGAAGGAGAAATACCGCAAATATGGTGCAAACTGCGTGTATGAGGAGTAGGGTTTGTAGCATCCTCACATTCACCCATCTCCAAATCACTACTAACTATGGGCTCTGTGCCAACTCTAGGAGAAGCTTGGCGAGTGAGAGATCCCATGTCAACGGTGGTCTCAACTTGCAAAGGATTAGGTGCACGAGCACCTGACATCTGAATGCTATTTCTTTTCTTCATCTCCTCTTCATCATTCAAAATCTATTTAAAATCAATTCAAATTTTTTCAGTCGCAACAGACAATGTTTTCAACAGGAAGAAGAGAAAAGCATGACAAGAAGATGAAAGAAAGAACAATGACAGGTCATACATACTCTACACAAATTGAATACAAGCTTGTGCATAGAAGAGATTGACCAAACAAGGAAACATGGAGAAACAAATCCCAGAAACCACATTGCGAATAATTTGTATAACCCATAAAACGATATAAAATAATCCAGAAGAAAAAACAATTCCCACAAGAGATAGATGTATCAAGGAAACATAGAAAAACAACTTGGCTAATAAATTTTGTTTTTAACAAGGTTACAAAGGAATGGAACTTGAGACGTAGTGCAATGAAAACCCAGCTGCTACCGTCTTGACCCAAGCCCCATTCCTATAGAACTTGAGATCGCAGTGCTATGGAACTTGGCAAATAACTTGTACAACCTATAAAATGTTATAAAATAATCCGGAAGAAAAAACAATTTTCACAAGAGATAGATGTAACAAGGAAATATAGAACATCAACTTGAAAAAACCTCATCGTAAAATACGGAAAAACAAGTAGCATCCTCATAATATCCTGGGAGATAACATCAACAAAAATAATAGGGCAACTTCACCCGCTTAAGCAGTTGAACCAGATTGTGCTTTTCTTCATTTAATCTATGCAGTTTTTTCTCCAGGTCCTTTTTCTTCTGCACTTTTTCCTCAAGTGACTGTGGATTCTCCACCTGCCACCCACATAGTTCACAACTCAGAAGTGGCATCACGCACAATCAAAACAAAAATCGTGATTTAAAAATATCATTTAATGTTAGCAATTAGGAAAGTTCAAAGAATCTACCAAACAGAGTAAAATGAGAATCGATTGATTACATACATGAAACAGTAACACCAGGCTTTGATGGCAATTCCATCCCTTTTCAAGGTTCAAAGATCAATATTTAAATCTGCTCAATAGAATAATGGATTATATTACTGAAAAATTCATCCCACAGGTTACTCAGACCACAGTTTCTTCTAGCCTCAAACAGCTGATGCGGAACTTCTTGTGGGCAGGTGACAGGAGCAGTCACAGGTTTCATTTGATCTCTTCAGACAAAATTTGCCTACCTCGGCATCAAGGTGGCCTGAGGATCCAAAGCCTCAGAAAAACTAACCTAGCTCTAATGGGTAAATGGTGGTGGCGCTATGCCACTCAAGATGGTCACCTGTGGAAGCATGTCATTACCCAAAACTACCATCTAGACACAAATTTGTGGCTACCAGAATGGCGACCTAATGACAGAGCCTAGGCATTTGGAGGTCCCTCCTCTCTGTCCTCAAACTTTTTAAAGGCAATATTAGATTTCAGCCTAGGAGGGGATCAAGAATTAGATTTTGTCTAGACCCCTGGCTCAATCAAACCGCTTGAAAGACCTTTACCCAGCCCTCTTCCTCCTTGCTGTCCATCGACAAGTCTCTATTGAAGACTATTTTCCCCTACAAAATGTGGCTAGAACTTGGAGTCCCGGCCTTCACAGACCACCCTCAGACCTCAAATTTCAGGAATTCCTATACCTCTCCAAAGTCCTCGGTTCTGTTTTCCTCTCTCCCTATGGTGACCCCTCGGGGAAATTCTGAGTTGCTTCCTTTTATCGTAAACAAATCGAGCAGCCAACATTCCCACACGCCCCTCCCTCCATAGCGGCCAAAGAATGGACCTCCTTTGCTCCCCCCAAGATCCAAGTATTTAACAGGATTGCTCTCTCACAGAGAGCATTAACTGTTGACCAACTGCAAAAGAGAGGCTTGTCTTTACCAAACCGATATGTCATGTGCCGTGAAGCCGAGGAAACAAACCCTCAGCTCTTTTTACATTGTCCCTAGGCCCATTTTTTGTGGGGAGCCCGTCTTCAGCTCTTCAAATGGCAATGGATAACTCCAAGAAACATTTTCATTCTCTTTTCCGTTCTTTACCCCTACCTCTGGGCCTCTTCAGGCATCATACTGTGAAAGGCTTCAATGGCAGCCCTCATTTGGGAGATTTGGATAGAACGTAACAATCATGTAACTTCCAAGGACAGTTCTCCACCATTGATGCCTTGTTTGACAGGATCAAAGCGGTGGTTTTCTTCTGGGCCACCAATCACAAGCAGTTCAAAGGCTTCCCCCCTTCAGCCTTCCACTTACATTGGTACGATCTCCAATCTCCTCTTTCTACCACAGCAGAGCAGCATCTCCCGAGCCTCCTTGTGGCTTCCCCCCAAGCCCGGCTGCGTAAGGCTCAACTTTGATGGGTGTTCCTTAGGCAATCCATAGCCCTCAGGAATAGGTGGTCTTTTTAGAGACCACGAAAGGTCCACCTTGGCTTCCTTCTCAAAATTTATAGGTCACTCAGATTCCTAATCAGCAGAAGCAACAGCTTTTCTTGAGGGCCTCAGACCATAGTTGTTGGGTACGGGAACGAGAACGGTTCTGGGATCGGAGGCGGGATCGGCAAATCGAAGCTATATTGAAGATCCATGTGTTGGGATCGATGCCCATACAGCCTCAAAGGTAGGGATCGAGGTCCATGTGTGTTGGGGATCGAGCTCCTTTTTCACATAGGATCGAGAATTATTATACAAATGTGTGAGATTCTATACGCAAGGAGCGGAGTTCCCAAGGGCACCTTTTTGAGTTTCTTAGCTCAAGGAGCGCATCAGTAAAAGTGATCCAACATATTATGGAGCGAGGAATAACTTTTACAAGAGCGAGCTCCATTTATTAGAACACGAGTTCCTCTGTAGGTTTGAATAAGGATCCAGGGCTTTATAATGTAGCTCCAGCATTGTTAACCAATAACATGTAGGCGTAGTCTTCTATGAAAGAAACAAAGAACTTCAAACCAATCCATTGTTCATTATATTAATATAGTAAATAGATCATTTCATTAATTCTGAATAGCTGTGTAACGAAATACAATCCAACACCATATATACATGGAATAAATGTTGTTAGTATTGGTTTCTAAAAAGGAAAATAAAGGTGAGTAGTCAGTGGATCGCAAGCAATTATTTATTGATATAATATTACCATAAAATATCATAACTATTGATGTAAAACTATAATAAATTTGGTGGCATTGTGTGGTGGGGGGCGGATTTTGAGGAGGAGGGGAGGGGGGGGAGGGGGGGTTGTGCACAAGGAGGGAGGGAGGGAGGGCATTGTGTAACTTCACAAGGATGGAGGGGGGAGAGAGAGCAATGTCCAAAACCTTGGCTTGCAATTTACCATCCAATATCAGGATTTTACAACCACTTGAAGGGGGGAGAGAGATATTCCATCATTTCACACTTGCGATCCCATATTGGTGGGATCTTGATGCCATAAATGGTGATGCTTGTATTTATTGTTTTGGAATCTAGATCCCAATACACTCTAGAATGTGAACCATAAGACTAGGGAACTAAATCTTGTAATGTTTTGGAACGCGAAATTAAATTGTAAGAAACTTGTTCCCTTACAAGATGAAGCGAGATCCCGAAAACACAAAATTGAGTTTCAGACGAGATCTGCTTTGGGATCGAGAGAATCGAGGTTCTGCAAGGGATCGCCAAGCAAGGGAGGAGATCCTGGTAACTACGCCTCAAACCGTTTGACAACTCTTGGGGCCAAGCACTTACAGTAGAAGAGGTCTCCCACAACATTATTTCCTAGGCTTCTGGTTCAGCCAACTGCCCCTTGCCCCTGATCCACATTTTCAACTAAATATCTCATGTGAGCAGAGGACTTACGATTACTTGGAGACACAGATACCTCGAAAGTAACACAAAAGAAGATTCTCTTGCCGAAGCGGGTGCTTCACATGCTATAGGCTAAGCATTTTTTGCAAACTCAACCAATGTCCCTTCAAGGGGTTCTCGCTCCCCTCCTGCTCTTTCCTTTCATTTCCCTCTCTAGGGATTTTGTATAGAGTTCCATCCCTAAGGGAAGCCATTTTTTCTATACATAACCCATGGCCCCCCAGGTGATCCAATTTTGTACAGTCTTTTTTTCTCTTCAATACAACAATTTTGGGCTTATAGGTTTTTTAGATGGGGGGGGGGGGAAGGTTCTTCTAAGTATATTTCAATTGCATTTTTCTAACTAGACTGACTCATTTAACTTCAATCACGTCCAAAGCCTTAAAATATCATAATCTCAAAATACCCTCGATGTCTTGACTCATGCTATAAGCCTAAAATGGTCCAACCCCCTCCCAGTCTCAAAGTTTAGAAACACTAAAAATCTTTAGGAAGGTCTTAGTCCTCTGAAACCAGTGTTCTCAGACTGATGCTAAGAAAAATCAATAACCTATGTATCTTAAGTTGAAAAACATCTTTTCTTTGGGTAGTTCAATCGTAGAACCCTAACATCAGATGTAGCATTGCTAATGTCAACTGCTAACCACTCAAGTTCAAGCTCAATTCCTTTAAGTTGAAAAACATCGTCATAGCTAAAATGATCATGAAGATTCCCAAATATAATTCTAACCCTTCAACAAACTTAGGAGTTTTGGCCCTCAATAATCTTTGTGATCCTTTTTTTTTGAAGGTGTTAACTAATATTTTAAGTAGCGAAAGATACAAGAGAGTAGGCATGGAATAAGCACCCACAAGCTGGACCCTATACAAGTACCCTTATGGGTTCAAAAAATGGTGACAGCCCCTGAGGGATCTCGAAAAGTGCCTTACAAGCAAAGAGAGAAGAAAAGAGAAAACAAAAACAGGGGATTTCATGCTCAAAAAGGTGCTTAAAAGGTCCCCCGGGTGTCTTCCATTTGTGAAGCTCGCTCTCTAGAAAGGGCATCAGCTGTAGTGTTGGATTCCCTCCAAATATGCCTCCATGAGAAGTGAATAACCTGCAAACTTGGAAAATTTTGTCAAACATGTTATCCAGCCTCCAGGGGCAAGTTGAGGCTTTAGATTCCCAAGACAAGACATTTTGAAGTCCCCCTCGATCACCAGTGAGGGCCTTTGCTGGAGTCGGCTAGATTGATAAAGCGGGAGTAAGGATATAAGGTGGTGTCCTCTTTATCTCTAAATAGTCCCCCGATGTTAGCTGGGCCCTGTTGCCCAAGGAAGAACCATCGAAGTTGAGCTTGGTTTTCCAGTGGTCTCCAAAGAGATGTGCGGGAATTTTGTGGGGCCTGAGGTGAAGGAATGCCAATCAGTCTCGGTGAAAGTCCGAGTAAGCGCAATGATGAAGTGTTAACTGTTTTTTGCCCAAAAGGTGACTAGGGTCTTAACCCTATCTTTAAGAGCCTCTATAGCGGACTTGTCGCTGCTGAAGATTATTGAAGTTCTTTCCATCTAGATAACCTACAACATGGCTGCTACTGATGCCCCCCAAAGGAGGATCCCTGACTTCGACCATGGTGGTGATTGGAAAGAACGAAAGATATTGGGTATCGATTGCGACGTCACCCTCGGCTAGTTGTAGCAGGTAACCCCAAAGGGTGCTAGCAACCTCGCAGTGGATAAAAAGGAGGGCGTTCGTTTTGACGTCGTCAGTGCACATGAAGCACATGTTTAGGATCAAGATGCCCCTTCTTTCGAGCTGATGCATCGCAAAGTCAAACCTTGGCAATGCCCTTTTAGATTTGCAGGATTTCATAAGAATTAGTACCATGATTTCAAATACACCAAGCTTTGCCTATTGGTTCATAATAGTTGTCCGAATCCCTCATTAAAAATCACGATTCTGATTTGGACCCCTAATTCTGTGATTCCGACAAGGAATCTTCATGCAACCTATTTCCATGAAGTCTGGAATCTCGATTCCTTAATTTAGGAATCTCAATTCCAACACTTACAGAATCTCATTTTCAATATTTACTGGTTCCACAATTGGTAAATCTAAATTCTACACTTATTGAAACTAGGTTCCACGTATAACGATATTTGATTCTAATGTTTTCGAACTCGGATTCCTAAACAAGAAGTACCGTGTTTTGTAGATGCAAGAAACAACAAACTAACCAAACATCGATCTTGTTTCCACTCTCATAGAACCTTGATCTGTTCTTTTAGGAATCAACCACAAAATCAAATACTAATATTCTAGATGCACAAATCTGTTACTTATAAATTGGCTGAAATATTTATGGATTTTGATTTGAGTTATTTGGAAACCGGAACAGGAGACAAATAGACGATTATCTTCTGTAGTTCATGCATGCTCCGAACGAGAATCCGATGAACACATTGCCAAAGTTTTGGTTCCATAAATCAACATTCAGATGCAAAAGTCTAGGGACTTGAAGTATTAAAATAAGATAACTTGCCCGTGCAACATCAAAAATTGAATATTCCATGCCTTCACCCCTGGTATCAAATGCACATACCCCTCAATGTTTACCCGAATTCTACCAATTCCTTTTTTTTTTTTTTTCTTTTTTCTTTTTTCAAGGCATCAAACTATTTGAACTAAACACCCATTTAAAACTACAGGGCATATTACTCTTTTTTGGCATGAAATGACTAATAGAAAACAAAGTGGTGGTCCACAATCTCTACTTAATTCTTTAAGTATGCATTGTAATGATATAGTATGTAATCTCCTACTAACTTCTAAATGTGTCACCATCTATCCATGTTTTTGCTTGATCCTTAATAATCAAGGGGTTACAAATCTCGATTGCCGGATGGGTTGAAACTTGAATCCAAACTGCTGCGAATCTCGATTCCAAACAACTATGGATCTCGATTCGAAATGCCTAGTAATCTTGATTCCAAAGATGTCGGAATCTTGATTCTATAAATGAAGGAATCTCACTTCTATATTGGTCGATTCCAAATAGGTTAGAAACTCGATTCTATATAGCTAGAAATCATGATTCTATATATATAGGGATCTCGATTCCTTTTGATCAAATCTTGATTCCTATAAAATAGGAATCTTGTTTCCCACGATTCCTCTTGTACGGAAGTTGATTCCAAAACATGAATCTTTTAGCCGGCCAATGTTCCACGATTCCGATTCTTTAAACTATCGGGTTTTGGAATTGTTTCCAACAACTATGCACCAAATTCTAACAACCTGTGATGCCAAAAGCCATTGTACCTTTGTCTAACCCCTTTCACCTCCTCCTCAACCTTTTTCTCTAGCTTCTCAAATTCTCATGAAGACTGTAGAACCAAACTTAGACTTGTGCCGGAACGGAATATATCAACCTATTCAAACCCAATATAACATGGACCTCAACACTTCAAAGTCTTGAGCAAGTAAAGCCCCACTACCATCGAAACAGATTATTTGTCTAAATTCTTGTAGATAACCATTGTATTCTCAAAGGACTCCACTATCAAAACCATTATTTTCTACTTATTAGAAAAAAATGGACGATGCTTTTGAGCCACTTATTCCGACATTGTGCCTTATACTCACATCGTTCGGCCCTTTGCAATTGATTGAGGTTTTCATAGACATTATCTCTGAGGCAGTTTCTTTAAGGGAAAGGTCACTCAAATAGCAGATGTAGCTGGAGAGAATAATCAAAAGGTTAAGCATCGCTTGGACAAAGGACAAGGAAGTCTTAATAGCACCATAGCTTCTGGTGTTTTTGAAACACAATCAATCTATGGGTCCATAAACTATTGCTTTCTAGTAAATAACCAATTGGAAAAATAATAATAATAATAAAAGCAATAATAAGCCATAAAACTAACAGGAAGTGAAGCAGCAAAAGCAATGAACTTGAACAAAAGATAGCTGCGGAAAGGAAAAAACCCATCTTGTTCAGCAGTTCAGAATATCTGGTTTTGGCCTCATATTCAAAACAGATGCTATTACTTAGCAATCAGGGATCTCCCAAATAATTTTAAACATAAAACTGCTAATGAAACGAAGCAGAAATGATCAAAAAAATAGCAATTCGCTTACCTTCTTGGCGGATTCGGCGGGAATCTCTTTCTCAAATTTTGAATTTGAAATCGATGCAGATTCTTGGCACTTAAGTTTCTCCTCATCTGCAACTTTCTCCTTTGATTCCTCCTCTGCAACATCGATAATCGCTGGCTTGTTAAGCACCTCAATCGACTCTGAATTTCTAGGGTTTTCGATGTAGGGCGTTTTATTTTGGTGAGGGGAATGGAGAATCGATGCTTCCTGAGAAAGAGGGGGAGGAGTTTCTGTGTGTTGGGGCTCTTTGGCGTTGTCTCCGATGCCTTCTGCCATTCTTGGGGGAGGAGAATTTGCCGGCTCTTTGTTGTTGTTGGTTTGAAGGAGAGAGAGAGCCTTGCGTCGCTTCTGCAATAACTTCCTGAAATCGCGAAGGGAGATGGAGTGTTGGGGCATCAGCCATTTCCTAGGAACGTCGGGGACCTTGTGGAGCTTTCCTCTGTACAGTGATATCACAACCATGCCTCTCTCTCTCTCTC